TCGCGGTATAGTCCGAGTGGACGGCAGACCAATACAGCTGGCTCAAGGTGGCAGCCAGCAGCTTGGTCTCGGTGGCGTTGGATGGGTAGCGGCTGCGCTGCATCAGTGGATGCCGGGCGAGCTTCAGCAGCTCGCAGACGCTGATGCGAGACCCTACACACTGTTGGGGCCAAGCGCCACGCATAATCTCAAGCAGGTCGTGTCCAGCCGCATGAAACAACGCCTCGGTCGCTCGCTTCAGATTGGCACCACATCGGGAGCGGTGTTGACTGATACCAGCAGCTTCGAAGAAGAGGTGACACTTGTTGCACTGGGCGACCAATTTGGCCTCCATCACCTGCTTGACCAGAACAGTGGCTTGCTCGTCGTAGGGGTGCTCGCGTAGTACATGATTGACCCAGGCTTTGCGGTCAAGGCGGGGCCCCTTGCATTTGCAAAGCCCAAATGGGCAGGCGAGGAGTTGCCTGTGGCCAGATGTCTTCAGCAGGACCTTGCGCAATCGCCTTGTCCACACACATTACACTGTACTGGAAATACACCTTTAATACAAGGACACGACAAAACCAGCATCAACAAGAGCAGAAAGCGAGACAATGTTGTGAGAAAAAGAAGGCACATAAAACGCCACCGAGACCAAGCTGATGGCTGCCACCCTGAGCCAGCTGTATTGGTCTGCCGTCCACTCGGACTATACCGCTGAAGAGCGAGAGATGTGCTGGGCTTTGATTTTGGCCTTGCCTAGCATGTTGTTGTCTGCTCCCTCGACCGCACTGTCTACGATTGACCTGCGCAATATGTTTCACGATCGTCTCCGTTGGCTTGTGACGGGGCAACTAGGTCGGGTCGTGGACGCCATGCGCAAGGCAGTCGCACGCAAGCAGAGCCGTCGAGGACAGCTGAACGCCGGCGCGGGCGCCCACCCGAACGACGCAGTCGACCAGAGCCTCAGGTCACTCGTCCGCGACCCGGACCTGGCGGACGAAGCCTGGGCAAACCACGTCACGAACCGTCTGAACCGAGGTCAGATTGCCAAAGCATTTGATGCCGACAAGGCTCGTGCCGTGATTGGTAATTCTGAGGTTCAGGCCGTGCGCGACCTCTTGGTGAATTTAAATTAGGTGTTTGAACCTCAGAGCTGAAAGCAAAGCTGTGCAACCCCGACAACAAAATCACGACGGCACGCAAAACAACACAAGAGAACAAGTTACATTCACTGGCTTTTATCATGCCAAGAAGTACAAGCGCGAAGAATCACGCACATAGAAACAAAAATCGTACAAAACGACCAAGTATAACCAGAGATACGGCCATCTTAAACACAAGATACACATAAAAAGGCAGTCACACATCACAACTACAAGCCATCACAGCACAAACACAATGAACACCACGGCACGCTCACATCCAACGAGACACAACGTCGGATTGAGAAAACAACCAACCACAGAAGACAAAGACATCATACAAAGGACCTTACAAAAATTCAGCAAAAATACCACACAGATACAGCAGAAATCAAAGCGAAATCAGACAAAAATACAAGTCAAGCCATCAAAAGACACAACAAGGAACCACCAAGGGAGCGACAGGTGCACACAGGGATCCCCACAGAGGGACCCCCGAGACGGTGCCTACCTACGACGAGCGCAGGCAGACACCGCCAAAGTGGCGCTGGATGTGGTCAGCGTTCATCTGATGGACCAGCGCCGCAAAGCGACCCTTCCACCGGGGAACAAAGGCCTCATCCAGCCCCGGCTGGTACACACCACGGGCCTCGGCGCAGCGGGCGAGCTGACCAAGCAGATCCACAAAGGAGGAGGCGAACCCACCGGTTGTCGTCATCGCCGCAGGGATCAGAGTTTTTCCATGGTTGAAACCGGTGTAGTACTCGCGCTTCTCCTTTTCGGCTCGGCGAAGGGCAGCGCCCACCTTGATGCAGGCTTGCGAGGTGGTCGGGGGTTGGGCTGTGCGCACAGTCACGTCAATGCCCAGGTCGGGCAGAGCTGGGCCCAGGGCACCGCCGGGAAAGGGGTTGCGGCAGTGCAGGTCGATGCGGCAGCTCTGACCGTTGGCGTTGTAGCCAGACTTTTCCACCCAGACATGGGAGAGGGTGGCGTACCTGAGCAGGCGGCCCATCTCGTCGCGAAGGGCGTTGTGACGCTTGATGGGACGGCAGGTCAACAGGTGCTCGCGGGTCAGTCGCGGCTGAGGTGTCCTGCTGCTGCAGAGCGGGCACTTGTCCGTCGGCTTGACATTGATGAGTTCATGGAGGCCAAAACCCATCATGGACACAACCGCAATGGCAAAGGTCGTGTCGCTCAAGCGACGCAACTTGTCCCGACCCCGCATGGTCAAGACTGTGCTGACGCCCCACTCGCGTGAGGCCAGATATGCCTGCTGCAGGTCCAGCGCACACTTGGCCATCAGGTCGTCCAGTGCCGCCTTGGAGCGGAGGGCAATGATCTCCGCTGGTCGCTGGGTCGCCGCGTCCTTGACCGTGGCCATCTGGAAGCCAGCTCGCCGCACGTGGGCCTCAAAGTCGGCAGCCCTCGATGCATCCTCCAAAAGTCGATCGTAGACCCGAGGGTAGCGAGTGGCCAGCTTGGCCATGTTGCAGACATAAGCCACCGGACCGCGCTCAACCAAGTCGTGCAGGCCAAAGCCCCCGGTGTTGGCCCGCGTGAAGAGGCGAGCCTCAAGGAGCTGTTCCAGCGTAACGTCATGACCTTCAGCTCCAGCTGGTGCAGACAGGTTTACCTTGGCAAAAAAGGCTTTGACAAAGGTGTCCTTGCAAGCACGGTTCAAGAGCTCGGACAAGCCCGACGTGAGACTTGGGGGCAGCGTGTAGAGGTG